GGAAGTAGTAAGCAGAGGCAAGCCAAACTCGATAAAGTACATCGGGACAGAGCCCTGTGCGCCAACATCAATGCCAAGAGCAAGAAGTATGGTGATGCCATCCCAACCCCCGACGAGATGTGGTGCCCGGCTTCGCCGGCCATCGACGTGTGCGCCATCTCCACTGCACCTCAGGGAGAAGATCGATCAAATAAGGTCACGAACAGAAACATGGTCTTTGCGTCTGCAGAACATGATCAACTACACGTGTCCGTGCTTCCCGAGGACGAGACGCCGCTGGTGGGTTCTTACTGGCCGAAATGCCGACTGGGGCAAACCCAAGGCCAAGGCGATGTCAAAGAGCAGCACCTACACTGGTGGACCAGCCACCCAGCCCCAGTAGTGCCAAGCTCATCAAGCAGAAGGGCCTAAAATGACCAGAAAAGGGGATGAAGTGATGAAGACTGGTGGCGCACGCAGCACGGTCCCCGGCTCCATGGCGTCCACAAGCAATGAACCAGGCGGTCATTCAGGTGAAGTTCATGATGAGCAATCTTTCGTACCTACCAATTGTCCCAGAAGTCGATCAACCAGATGATTGAGAGCGCCACATTCTGGGAGAAATGCCCGTGGAAGATCACGGCGGCCTGAGTGATGCGGGATGAACGAAGCGCGCGAGAAAGGGTCATGAACGCCCAGGCTGGTATGCGAGGGAGCATTCGATGAAGTTGTTGCGAAGATATTGAGGGGGCTTCCAACACTCCACTGTTTGGAGGCATCGTGATGAGCAAGACGGGTGCCGTGGGTTTCTTCAAGAGGGGATCCAGGAAGCAGTCAAGTGTGAGACTGAGAAAAACGGTCCGGTCACATCACACGTGGTGCGAAGGATCGAGGTCGACTACGGCAACGCTGCATATGCTTCATGGTTCATTGGTGCTGAGACGAGCTATAGCATCGCCAGTACCGACAACGAAAGGAAGATAGGTCATGGTCTGAAAATGCTGCTGCTCGAATTCTTCGGTATAATGGCTCATTTTCACGAGACGTTCGGGAGCGAAGGCCGAGGCATCATTCATGAAATTCTTCGTCTCAAGGAAGCGCGGAGGATATGACTTGGATGAATCGCAAGCGAGGCAGCGGGTTTTCCACACTAGATGGTCCTTCACGACGTATCAGCCGTCTAACGGGCAACCTGCGGCATTGGGTGCCACACACTGGTGTGGTGGCGCGGGATCATCCTCGAAGTGGAAAGCTGAGTCAAGTGGCAATGTCGGTCCTGGGCTAGCGCTGGATGACGCAACAGAGCCAGAGACCAAAGCGCCCAGGAAGAACAAGACCAAGGCGCCCAGTGCCGTGATCCATGGGATGGTCGAGGACATCAGGAAGAAGATGGAGGGGCTCGGCGTACGCGAGAGGCGCGGCAAGAATGTCCGCGGGCGCCTGCAAGGGTGGACTGGCAAGTGAGGCCAAGATAGAGCGTTTCAGAAAGTCATTGAGCGTGTTTTCAAAGAGGCCAATTCATCGCCAGACAAGGAGATGGGAGACGCTGCGCATGACGGGCATGAAGTAGGGGCGGAAGATGGCGGAGGTCAACCAGGCAACTATGATGATGACGCAAGAAGGGAGATTGTCAGGCGCAACAACTCAATGGTGATGAGGAAGATTGAATCAGACTCCACCAGCTCCTTGACTGAGGGTGCGGGAGCGGCCGCACCATCGGTGGTCCTACAGCCATGGAGGACCTCATCCTGCCGGCAAAGGCTCCGCAACAGTACCAGCGTCAAGCCGACGGGGTACTCAAGAGTCCACCTTCAGCCCCTTGTAAATCTGCAGCCTCTCGTACCTGTCTCCTTCCCAGTGAGTCCGCCGACAGCGGTACTCAAGGATGACCATATGCAAATGAGCGTCGCGAAGGCATTGCGCGCGACCCTTCGGCGATTGAGGCCCAAATGATCAAGGACAAATGCGACCCTACAACTGTACAACGCAATGGTGGAACTGATGACGTATCAAAGCACAGGAAGAAGGCGCACGCGGTATCAGATATTCGCCGTTGCAACTACTGCAGACATCAGTGCGGAGGAAAAGGACACGCTTAATCATACCTAGGCGCAGCCGCGTATTTCGATCTCAAACTTGGTTGGATACGCCTTGGTGCATTTGCGCTACGTCGGGGCGCTCCGACTTCGGCTTCGCATTGCCTCAAGCGCTTTGCAACCGGCTCATGCCAAAGATCAGAGACATGATTGGTTCTCAGGTTCACAATTTGAGGAGACTGCCCGGCGGCGATCGTCCACGACTGGCGGTCCATTTTTGGGCGGTTGCAATGTCGCAACAAAGGGACCGGTGCTGACTTGGTTGCCACCTACATCCTGAACAATGTTCTGGCTGCGTATGATGTTGGCGTGACATCAAATGGAACGATTGTTGCCTCTACTCGCATTCCATTCATCGAAGTTCGGAAATTCGAGGCGGCAAGACAATCTCCCGTTGTCAACGTGAGGAGATTGTATTCCAAAACGCACGAGGGTGAGATCTGCACTGCAAGAACGCCACCGACTACGACGAGATGACATTTCTCCACAACCTTTCGGAATTCCTTGAAACTGCATGCGGGAGTGACGCGGAGGAGGTGAGACGCCTCGTCCTGGAGTGCTGCGAGTTGACAACGAGGATGAGATTCGAGACGAAATTCGCACCATGATTGTGATCGCCGAGGAAAACAATCTCCCAATAACATGCCGTCTATGCCCAGCGTGCGCGTCATTGATGCCCCGGCGCTTTTGCCCGTGTACGGTTTGCAGCTGTGCATGAGTTCATGTCCGTTGGCAAGTTCGTGTTCAACATCGCCCGAAGATCGTGGGAGCGAAAATTCCCGGCGAAAGTGCCCTGGAAGCACAGCAGAATGTGAAGGAATCAGTGACGGCGGTAGATCCACCGACAAAGAGGCAATGTGTGACGAGGACTATACTTTCTGCAACCAAAGGCAGGAGGGTTCGCAGAATGCTTCATATCACTAGGGGGCCGGCTACATTTCCGGATTCATTGCCCAAACACTCAACTTTGAAAGAAATGAAATCCATGAGGTCCCCGAGAAGTACTACCCGGTCGGCTCTGGAACGTGGGACCGCAGTACCGCACAAACAAACGCTGTTCAACCGGAGAGACAAAGAAGGTGTCTTTCTGCCTCCAGTCTTTCTGCCTCCAACGCGAGGAGAGGTTGCAGATTCGGAAATGATACAAGCGTGGGGTTCTTCACCAGAAGACAGGCGGTTTGACGGGATAGAACCCCAGCTCTATCATCTTTTCGGTCAGCACGGTCTCAACAAGATGTGCCTCGCGGCAAAGGTGTTGGGGATCAAACGTGCGCACTGACGCCAACACAAAGACGACGGCCTCATGCCGGCCAGGGACATAGTTTCCCACATTATCGGCCTGACCTGTCTCTTTGCGTTGGAAAGACGCCAAGTTTGGCAGTAAGCTGCATGTGTTCGACGTTGGGTCAGTCATATGCTCAAGACAAACCAGAGAAGTGGATGCGCCTCTCATCAACTGGCGCGTGAGGAAGACCCAGGATGGGCTTGCCAAAGATTTTCTGCTGAGGGTCACCAGGCTTGCGATCAAGGACGCGTTCGAAGATGGCCAAAGCAAGTTCTTTTTGCCTTATGCTTTAATCTGCAGGCGGCGCACAATGATATGATATGGATGCATATACATTTACATGACTCTCAATACGGACGGGTGGGCTACGACCCCGCTACCATGAGCTTCCGAAATTTCATTCCGTGTCTATAGTGCAATATGTATATTGCAGGTCACAACTATGCATCTCCATTGGTGGTATACTACATGTGCAGTCGGTACATATCATGCTATTGATTTGCATGGAGTTATCTTTTCATTGGTGTGACAACGCCTGAATGCAGCATCGCGATGATCGTGCCCTTCATACAATTCAGTATGTCTGCACCGCTGATGATGTCAGTTTGCAGCGACTCTGCATTTCGCGGCGATGAGGGAATGTGCTCGGCCTATGTCGTGTCCTGATTCAGTGACGGCCGGGCGGAATACCCAGCACGGTTGACTTCTCAGTGCAATGAAATTCACTCTGTGGGATATCAATGATGCGTGTGTGGCCTGCGCACAAGGCTTTCATGCCTCACGTCAACGGATCGTTTGCTGTGTTTTAGACAGGTCTGGGAGTGACGTAGAGTGATAGCATTTCAGCATGGGCATTGCGATTGTTTGTAAGTTGCAGCCACATGATGAACCCCTGGCTGCACTGGGGAATGCGCAAACCCCCGTGCCAACGCGCAGTCATGTTCTGATGGCCATCCCTTTGTGTACTGGTTTCGTCCCAAACTCCGTGTTGTCGTGTTAATTCGTGGCGCGTGCGAAAGACCTCTGAATCCATAACCGCAATTCCAAGCGGGCAGCGGGTGAGGGTTTTTACAAGCATGCAACCACGAACTGGCATTGCTTGGTTTTACCGTCAATGGTGTTGGTTCTACCCCACACGGAGCGAAAGGGGTGCATCCATATTATCGTATTCAGGTGCCACAATATATTATTCGAATTTTCCAATTCTGCGCAACCCCCGTCAGCACATGATAAGCGGACGCTCTCTCTAAAGCTGGGCTGAGTGGGCGCTCTCCTTCTGGGTCTGCTTCAAGAGCAAGAATCTTGCAGCGGGGGGGGGGGCGCTTTTGTGAAAAGTGCGTCGTTGGGCCGCCGTTTCTCTAAAAACGACGGCCCGGGAAAAATGGTGTTTTCCCTAGTCTTTAGCGTGCAAGTTTTGACAAAACGAAATGCCTGCCGCTGAGTCGTGCTTGGGTGGAAGAGCGGCTAGACGTCCACGCGGAACTGTTGTTGTGGTTGTTGTTGTTGTTGTTGTTGTTGTTGTTGTTGTTGTTGTTGTTGTTGTTGTTGTTGTTGCGGTAGTGGTAGTGGTGGTGGTGGTTGATGATGATGATGATGATGATGGTGGTAGTGCTGAGTTTTAGACATGTGTTTCGTGCCAGGGCAGCGTACGTGAAGCTGGAAGAAGCCGAGGAGGTCTTTCTCAGGCTGTGGCGAAGCCGTGTGTCAGGCAAAAGGGAGCCACAGTTTCAAGCCGTAATTACCTTGCGCCGCACTGGGGAAGAAAAGCTGTTCGCACAAAGCTTCCCCTCCAGGTGGTTAATCTGAACAAAGCCCCAGATCTAGTCAACATGAGACCGAACTGCCTTTTGTTTGGGACGTTGTTCCTGATCTTAGAGGGCTGTTTCTTAATTCGCAAAAGGCACCCCCTGTAGCAGGCTTCCTGCTCGGGATTGAGGCGTAGGAGTGGCCAGGCAAGTGCCAGCTGGACATGTGGTTTCAGTCAAGTAAGGTATTGACAAAAATCTGTGACGGCAGATGCCTTTCCAGCAAGGGTGTGTTGGGAAGCAGCCCCAGCTTTACGCGGGGCAGCCGGCAGCCGTGCTACCATCCCAACCTTTCTCCACACATGGCGACGAGTGAAGTCGATGTCTTTGTGGGTCGTTGAGCCCCGCCTTTTTTTGGGTTAGGGGAGGGAGGTATCTACTCTGGTTGGAAGGATTGAATAGACCTCAAGCGCGGTTGAGGTTTTGGATTGGCCACCCTCCATGTTCAGGGGGTAGCTTACAATCTGGCGAGGTTCGTTTTGTGTTGCCTCAAAAAACAAGGCGTCTTTTTTCTGCCTCTAGTACACACGAGCAGGCTTCTTTTTTTGTTGGGCTCGCCCTTTTGGATTGTAGCTACTTATGTGTCGATTTTGGCTCAAGACTTACACTACCGAACAGCGGTGTTGTGTGTTTCTCACAGGGATACATCCAGAATGTAACCAAAACTTAGCCTCCACAAACAAGGGTGTCTGTTGTTTTTGTCCGTACCCGAAAATTGAAGCGTGAACCACGCAAATAAATAAAACTTTGTGCTTGACCTGACCCCCTAGTAGAAAGCGTCGTGAATAGTCTGGCAATAACTAGGTTAATAGATTTATGCTTGCCCGCCCTTGGGTGAGCGTGAATGAGCGGCTTAGCGTCCCTCACGGGGATTTGTATTGATGAGTAATGTCCCCCTTTCTTTGCGCGGCAGTCAAAGGGCTGCGGCGTTGTGACATGAATGTTCATTCGTACTCGTAGCTGCCCCAGCCACATTGTGCTCGTTACCATGCGATTGGCGAAGCGAACAGGCCCTACAAGCCCGTGCGCCCATGCTTGCACTTGGGTTGCTGCAGCAAACTGAAAGTGGCTTAAGAGTCTCATTGCCATAGCAACACCCGGCAACCATAGCCCGCGCCAAGACACATGTGTGTTTAGTGGCCATACGCAAGGACATGCCAAGTGTAGGACTCAACGACTCGCGACACTGCGTCTTGCCATAGAATGTTTGGTATGTTCGGCCAATGACATCGTTGAAAATATCCGACAATTTCTGACTCTTTCGGACAATGAAGACTTAGGCAGCTTGTTTTTGGACCTTGCCAGGGCCAATGTTGAAGAACACCGAGATTAAAGTCTATACTCCGAACATGCACCTGGCACACAGACACGCAAACACAGACACACAGACACGTGACACGCAGACGCGCAGACACGCAGACACGCAGACACACGCACAGACACACACATTAGTTAACCCACATGCACGCACGACTCTTCACGCGGTTGTCTCCGGCGGCGCCACTGCTCGAGCAAGTCAGGAGTCGCAAGCGACAGCTTCAATCCTTCTCTTCTTACAACTTTGCTTGCCACATTGCTGACACTGCCGGGCTTCGCCTCTCTGGTTAGCCCGCAAGACCCAGGAAATGCAAAAACCGACCCCGGAAATCCAGTTGAGCAGAAGCCGGAAAAAGACGAGCGATTGATGCTGCAACATGGAGGCACAGTGCGCACGCACCCTCACCAAGTTCTGCACACAAACCTCGTATGCTCAGAAAGGCGTCCCCTGAACAGTTCAGAACGGTTCAGCCTGCCTTTTGCTGCGTAAATGTTTGCGCAATTTTTGCGTATATTTCAGGCACTCTTTGCCTGCGTGCGCCTTGAGCTTCTCGGCTCGCCTTCGATGTTTTGATGCCGGTGTGACCTCTTCCCTAGGACTAGTAGCGGCTAGCTGGGTGCTCACGAACTGTTCTGGGGAACGGTGGCAATGGAGCTTCACGCCCTGAGCGCACTGGAGCACATGCCCCTGGACCAACCGTTCTGGTGGCGGTCCTGCAAGCAACACGCCGAGTAGGCATATATTTCAGAACCGTTCTGAAGCGTTCGTGGTCTGAGCTCTTGTCGGAAGGGATTTCAACAGCATACCCTGAACCGTTCTGAGCCGTTCAGGAGGCAGCAGCATTTTCTGAACAGCATGCGCCCTGCTGAACCGTTCAGGAGGAAATTGCAGCAGCACACCCTGAACCGTTCTGAACCATTCGGATCAACACTGCCAAGACTACAAACCGCGTGATTAAGGTGTTTGGTCCCCGAAGATTTCTTCCATAGCTGCTTAGGACCTCTTGGCTTGGCAGCAGCCTAGCCTCACAGCCTTGTGAGGTCAGGCACCCCATATGCCCCATGAAGCTCATTCAATACCTTGGGCGCTGTTTGATTTTGGGAATCGAGATGCGCTTTGCAGCCTTCTTGACAATGATTTGCCCATGGCTTGCGCCCTCCTTATCTGTTCAGGCCTGTTACGTGGCAAATGGCCTGGCCTTCTTCTACGAGGAAGCGGACGCCTGGAGGTGGCGGCGGCTTGGGCAGAGGCCGGGGTATTTCGTCAGTATTTGTGCGCCAAAGAAGCGGTGGTGTTGCCGCTTACCCTGTCAACAGCAGAGCCGGCCAGCGCGCCACTGCTGCCTCGATCGTGGCCCGCTGCGAAGAGTGCTGCCGCAGCTCAGCCTTTGTCCGAGAATCAGCGGCAAGCTTGCCGCGACGCTGCTTGACATTTTTGCTGTCTCCAGCCTGGGCACCAGGAAGGCAGAGGTCGTGGTCTGCTATCACTTTCTGCTGAGTGGACAGGTGGCCCGATTGCTTGACTAACTCCGATCCAACCACGACACCTTACCATCTACCGAAGAAACGTTCGGGCTCAATGGCGCGGATACTGTGCCATAGCCAAAGCTGCAGCCAATGGCACACTGTGGACGCCTGCCATGCATTGGAGATAGATGCTGGAACTCCGCGCAGGGCGCGCGCATCGCGCCAGGTCCGCCCACTAGGAACTGCACCATGTGTGCATCATCAGGCAACAGCGCCCCGCCTGCTGGCCAGGTCAAAAAAGCACGTGAACGAAGCCGCTGACAGTCCTCCTCCAAGAAGATGCTGCCCAAGACAATCTTTGGGCACGGTGGCTCTGGTCGGAAGAACACCCAGAGCTCTTCTTTAAGAGGCAGTGCCTGACATACCCGCTCCAACATATTTGGGCCAAGGTTGCAGTTTGTTTAAACATATACTTGCGTTGCTCGCTTGCGCTCACAGCTTTCCACTCATGCAACTGAACTTGGCACGCCCTATATGACACTGGGTTCTCTACAAGAATAAGCCCAGCTTGACAAGTGCCTGGCCTTGGAAATTGCATGACGACATCTTGCATCGGCAGCCGATTGCAGCTTAAACTGTCGCACTCGCCTTTTGCGCCGCGCCTCGGCTGCTATTCTTTGAAGCCCAGGTCGCCCATGCATTCGACACTTCGCCGCCGAAAAGCGACCAACAGCTAAAAGCTTTCGAGTCTCAGCCCAGGTAGGCTCCGGGGTGGTCCGGGGTGCGCACACCGCGCATCGAAGCAAGAAAACTCAATCGAGCAGCCGGAGGATGTCTTTGCGGATCGCGTGTTTGCGGGGCCCGGACATGCAATGAAGAAGCCGGTTGCAGCCGAGACGGGAGAAGACTCAAAAGTTGTTAGGAAAGTAGAGGAAGATGCAGAGTGTGAGGGTGCGAGCAAGTGAGTTTCAGCAGACGAGGCGGTTCCTCGGGGAGAGCAGACTCGGTGATGTTGCGGACGTGGCGAGAGATGCGCTTGTCAGGAGCTCGAAAAGCTTAAGGTCGCCTTTCTTCTGACACCCCAAGACAGTGGGGCATCGTGCATCCACCTCGGGTGACGGTTTCAGTACGAGTTGCGGGACCGATCGCAGCAAAAGTGAGACGGGCAAGATTGATGGGCCGGTAAGGATGGCACGGTCCACCAAGGTTTGTGCATCAAGAATGTCCTGCGCCCAGAAGCGCAGGTAAATGATGTCCCCGGCGGTACAAGGGAGTAGGCGCAGACCGCCGGTTGCAGTTGAACAAGCGTTTTTCAGCCAAGGCTCCGGAGGCGGCGGCGGAACAATCGCGGGCTCAAATTATGTGTCTTCAAGAACATGAAGGTGCTGGGGGCGCAGAGCCGTGCTACGCGCCATAAGGCGAAGGAAGCCCCAGTGAGTGCTGACATTGTTTAGGGTGGGAAGTGTGTGGAGGCAACTTGTCAGGGCGACGGAGAAGGGCGGCATCTCCAGTCAAGGCCATGGATGCGCAGAGCAGCCAAGAGGGGTGGCGGTGACTTGTCGTGGCACTCACGAAACCCCTGTCACTTTAGCACACCTGCTGCAAGAGACGGCGGGAAGCGGCCAGCCAACCTGGCCAGAGTCTTCCTGAGGCCGTTTCCCAATGGTAAGCCTTGGCTGGGACCTACGGTTGGTGTGAGGGCGGGGCAAGGAAGACTGAACAGGACGGTCGTCGGGCTCACAGAATAGTGGCCCACTTACAGCAGTTCAAGAGACTGAGGGCCAAGGGAGAACAGCACTGGCAGCCTCAGTTGTAGTTTGCCATGCGGGGGTTGAACGCCAGGGTCAGCGCACCACGCCATAGCGGCTGACGCGTGAAGCGGCGACTTACAGTAACACAGACGAACTCACCCGTCCTAACCCAGAGATCCCTCTGAGAATCGCATCTACCCCTCAGCGGCTAGCGAGTGGAGCCCTCTTCTCGTCATCGCTCGCATCAGCTGCTTGCTGGGGAGCCCAGGGCAGAAAAGAGTGCTGCTTTTTCAACTTTGCCGTCTTGTACTTCTACGTCACCCAGCCTTCGGTTTGATCTGCGATTGTGGGTGGCGTGTGCTGCTTTGACTGCAGGTGTGGCCGCGCTGTGTGCCACAACTGCACTCCTTCTTTTGGATTGCAGCTGCTTCTCCCTTGAGGTGACTGCTTCTCTGTGGTTCTTTGTCCAGCTTTGGCGCGCTGAGACGCTTGCCTGGCAGCACTCAACCTTGAACCAAGAACACGAATACGACCGAAGCTCTGCTCTTGCTTGCGTGGTGGGATGGCCTTCGTCGCTGGGGCAGCCTTCAAAAAGCTCCTTGTAGGGCATTGCAGCTTCCACTCCTGGCTTCATCGCAGTTTACACGGCCGTCTGTGTGGCCGTGTGTTTGAAGGTTGAAGCAAAAGGTTGCGGCTGGTGTTGCGCTAACGCCTGTACTTGCTGTCACTTGGGGCCAAATTCACACACTGCTCAATACTCTATCCGCGGCGTGACTTTTCCGATTGTTTTTTGTTTTCAACATAGTCATTGAAATGAAAGGTTGTTGTACATTGTTTGACCCAGTTTTGGCTTCCAGGTGACATGGCTAAAAGTTTGCAAGTCCTGCAAAGCGCCACCCTGGTAAAGCAAGGGACATCGTATACTTTTTTGAATGATGCCCAGTGTGGTTTCATCCCAGTTGCAGCAAACCGCTGCGTAAGATCTGGCCTGTTTGGCAGGCGTCGCAAAGCAGCGGAGACCGGCGTGATGATCACAGAGCTCAGCTCATACGGAGAGCCGTGGGTGGTGGAGCATGACCAGGCGGTTGGACTCCGCCTTGGTTCGGCGGCAACGCTACTCACCGCCCCGCCACTTTTTTTCGCCGTTTGTTGCTGGCCCTCAAAAAAGCCCTCGCGTGGCCGCAGGTGCTTTGGGCCGCCCGGTATCATGACGCACAGATAGGAAACCAAGTCATCTCAGGCTTGATCTTATATCCCAAAGAAGCAGTTCATGAGGACGATGTCATTTTCGATGTGTCTCTCCCTTGCACTGCTGGCAACAACAACAACTACAACACCAACACCACCGCCACCACCAACAACAACAGCAACAGCAACAGCGACAGCAACAACAGCAGCAGCAGCAACAACAACAACAACAACAACAGCAGCAGCAGCAACAGCAAAACCAACAGCAGCAACAACAACAACAACAACAACAACAACAGCAACAACAACAACAACAACAACAGCGACAACCGCAACAAAAACCACGACAACCACAAGAACACCAGTAACAGTGACAACAGCAGAAGCAGCAGCAGCAGCAACAGCAACAGCAGCAGCAGCAACAACAACAACAGCGACAACCACAACCACAACCACGACAACCACAACAACACCACTAACAGTAACAGTAACAACAACAACGCGACCACCGTCACCGAAGACAACAGCAACAGCAACAGCGACAGAAACAACAAAAGCAACAACAGCAGCAACAACAACAGCAACAACAACAGCACCAACACCACCACCATTATAGTCATCATCACCACTGCCACAAGCACCATCGACACCACCGCCACTACCCCTGACACCACCGCCAGCACCACCAGCACCACCGCAACCGCCGCAACAGCAGGGACAACAACGACAACCGCAACAACAGCAGCAGAAACAAGAACAACAGCAACAGCGACAGCGACAACGATAAGAACAATGACAACCGCAACCGCAACCACAACAACAACGACAACAACAAGCGCAACAAAATCAACCGCAACCACGGCAACCACCACAACAACAACATCATTTTTGTTGTTGTTGTTTTTTATTGTTGGCTTGTTGGTTTCTTGGTTTGTTGGTTGGTTTGTTGGTTGGTTTGTTGGTTTCTTTTGTTGCTGTTGTAGGTGTTGTTGTTGTTGCTGTTGCTGTTGCTGTTGTTGCTGTTGCTGTTGCTGTTGCTGTTGCTGTTGCTGTTGCTGTTGTTGTTGTTGTTGTTGTTGTTGCTGCTGCTGTTGTTGTTGTTGTTGTTGTTGTTGTTCTTGTTCTTGTTATTGTTCTTGTTCTTGTTGTTCTTGTTGTTCTTGTTGTTCTTGTTGTTGTTGTTCCCCACATCTTTGTGTGGGGTTCTTACTTTTTCCGCTCGTCGTCCGCGCGCCGCGTCTCCTCCTCCTTCTCCCGCTCGTCTCCGTCTCACTCACTCACTCACTCACTCACTCACTCACTCACTCACTCACACTCACTCACTCACTTACACTCACTCAACTCACACTCACTCACTCACACTCGCTCACACTCACTCACTCACACTCAGTCACTCACACTCACTCACTCACTCACTCACTCACACTCACTCACTCACACTCTCACTCACTCACTCACACTCACTCACTCACTCACTCACTCACTCACTCACTCACGCTCACTCACACTCACTCACTCACACTCACTCTCATTCACTCACTCTCTCACTCACTCACTCACTCACTCGCTCACTCACTCACTCACACTCACTCACTCACTCACTCACTCACTCACTCACTCACTCACTCACTCTCACTCACTCACTCACTCACTCACTCACTCGCTCACTCACTCACTCACACTCACTCGCTGACTCACGGCAGCTGTCTAGAGGGACAGGATGTTGTCGCGCGCGCGGCGGGGGGCGTGCGAAATCGTGGCAGGCGCAGCACTTTGGCGATGCCGTTGCGAAATCGTGGCAGGCGCAGCACTTTGGCGATGCCGTTGCCGAAGTCGTGGCAGGCGCAGCATTCTGTGCATCTGGGTGTGTGTTTGTGTGGCAGGGGTCGCATTCGGCAGCTGTCTAGAGGGACAGGATGTTGTCGCGCGCGCGGCGGGGGGTGTGCGAAATCGTGGCAGGCGCAGCACTTTGGCGATGCCGTTGCGAAATTGTGGCAGGCGCAGCACTTTGGCGATGCCGTTGCCGAAGTCGTGGCAGGCGCAGCATTCTGTGCATCTGGGTGTGTGTTTGTGTGGCAGGGGTCGCATTCGGCAGCTGTCTAGAGGGACAGGATGTTGTCGCGCGCGCGGCGGGGGGTGTGCGAAATCGTGGCAGGCGCAGCACTTTGGCGATGCCGTTGCGAAATCGTGGCAGGCGCAGCACTTTGGCGATGCCGTTGCCGAAGTCGTGGCAGGCGCAGCATTCTGTGCATCTGGGTGTGTGTTTGTGTGGCAGGGGTCGCATTCGGCAGCTGTCTAGAGGGACAGGATGTTGTCGCGCGCGCGGCGGGGGGCGTGCGAAATCGTGGCAGGCGCAGCACTTTGGCGATGCCGTTGCGAAATCGTGGCAGGCGCAGCACTTTGGCGATGCCGTTGCCGAAGTCGTGGCAGGCGCAGCATTCTGTGCATCTGGGTGTGTGTTTGTGTGGCAGGGGTCGCATTCGGCAGCTGTCTAGAGGGACAGGATGTTGTCGCGCGCGCGGCGGGGGGCGTGCGAAATCGTGGCAGGCGCAGCACTTTGGCGATGCCGTTGCGAAATCGTGGCAGGCGCAGCACTTTGGCGATGCCGTTGCCGAAGTCGTGGCAGGCGCAGCATTCTGTGCATCTGGGTGTGTGTTTGTGTGGCAGGGGTCGCATTCGGCAGCTGTCTAGAGGGACAGGATGTTGTCGCGCGCGCGGCGGGGGGTGTGCGAAATCGTGGCAGGCGCAGCACTTTGGCGATGCCGTTGCGAAATCGTGGCAGGCGCAGCACTTTGCGGATGCCGTTGCCGAAGTCGTGGCAGGCGCAGCATTCTGTGCATCTGGGTGTGTGTTTGTGTGGCAGGGGTCGCATTCGGCAGCTGTCTAGAGGGACAGGATGTTGTCGCGCGCGCGGCGGGGGGTGTGCGAAATCGTGGCAGGCGCAGCACTTTGGCGATGCCGTTGCGAACTCGTGGCAGGCGCAGCACTCTTCTCGATGCCGTTGCCGAAGTCGTGGCAGGCGCAGCATTCTGTGCATCTGGGTGTGTGTTTGTGTGGCAGGGGTCGCATTCGGCAGCTGTCTAGAGGGACAGGATGTTGTCGCGCGCGCGGCGGGGGGTGTGCGAAATCGTGGCAGGCGCAGCACTTTGGCGATGCCGTTGCGAAATCGTGGCAGGCGCAGCACTTTGGCGATGCCGTTGCCGAAGTCGTGGCAGGCGCAGCATTCTGTGCATCTGGGTGTGTGTTTGTGTGGCAGGGGTCGCATTCGGCAGCTGTCTAGAGGGACAGGATGTTGTCGCGCGCGCGGCGGGGGGTGTGCGAAATCGTGGCAGGCGCAGCACTTTGGCGATGCCGTTGCGAAATCGTGGCAGGCGCAGCACTTTGGCGATGCCGTTGCCGAAGTCGTGGCAGGCGCTGCATTCTGTGCATCTGGGTGCTCTGTAATCGCATCCATACAAGGGGCGCACGGTACATGTGTGTGGACATTTGAACTCACATCCTTGGGAAAAACATAGCATGTGGGGTTATCCGGTCCTTTAATTGTTGTTGTTGTTGTTGTTGTTGTTGTTGTTGTTGTTGTTGTTCTGCAGCAGCAGCAGCAGCAGCAGCAGCAGCAGCAGGAACGAGAGAGAGAACGAGAGGGGGAACGAGAGAGAGAGAACGAGAGAGAGAGAACGAGAGAGAGAACGAGAGAGAGAACGAGAGAGAAAACGAGAGAGATAACAAGAGAGAGAAAACGAGAGAGAAAACGAGAGAGAGAACGAGAGAAAGAACGAGAGAGAGAACGAGAGAGAGAACGAGAGAGAGAACGAGAGAGAGTACAAGAGAGAGAGAGAACGAGAGAGAGAACGAGAGAGAGAACGAGAGAGAGAACGAGAGAGAGTACGAGAGAGAGAACGAGAGAGAGAACGAGAGAGAGTACGAGAGAGAGAACGAGAGAGAGAACGAGAGAGAGAACGAGAGAGAACGAGAGATCTTAGAATTAATTCTAAGAATTCTAATAACTCCAATTGGAATTATTCCAATTCCTAGAATTAATTCTAAGAATTCTGATAACTCCAATTGGAATTAGTTCAACAGATAAGAATTAATAGAAAATCCTTGCCTGGCCAGCATTCCCTTGCAATTCTGTTTCTGGAATGTTTGGAATTCTTAGAATCCTAGATAAAATTCTAATAATTCTAAGACTTCCAATTGGAATTATTCAAATTCCTAGAATTAATTCTATTAATTCTAATAATTGCAATTGGGAATTATTAGAATTCTTAGAACTAATTCTGAGAATTCCAATAATTCCAATTGGAATTATTCCAATTCCTAGAATTCATTCTAACAATTTGAATAATTCCATTTTGAATTATTCCAATTCTTAGAATTCTTGGAAAATCCTTGCCTGGCAAGCATTCCCTGACAATTCTGTTTCTGGAGTTTTTGGAATTCTTAGAATCCTAGAATTAATTCTAAGAGTTCTAAGACTTCCACTTGGAATTTTTCAAATTCCTGAAATTAATTCTATTAATTCTAACATTTCCAATTGGAGTTTTTAACTGATAGAATTAATTCTATCAATTCTACAAATTCCAAGAAACAGAATTGCCAGGGAATGCTGGCCAGGCAAGGATTTTCCGATAATTCTTATTTTTGGAATAATTCCAATTGGAGTTATTAGAATTCTTAGAATTAATTCTAGGATTCTACCAATTCCAAGAATTCAAGGATTTTCCAATAATTCTACAAATTGGAATAATTCCAATTGGAGTTATTATTCTTAGAACGAATTCTAGGAATTGGAATAATTCCAATTGGAATTATTGGCCAATTCCAAAAATTCCAGAAACAGAATTGCAAGGGAATGCTGGCCAGGCAAGGATTTTCCAATAATTCTACAAGTTG